TCAAATATTAGGTTTTTAGTTATGATGCTCCCAAAAAATTCCACATAAATCCTCAGATTTTTTACAATATTTTGCACAAAGTAGCAAAAAAAGGCTGCAGATTCTGTCTGTCATCTACAGATGATTAACCTTTTGATGTGTAAAATCACACCGGTGTGATCAGTCTTGGTTGGTACCTGGAGAATGTAATACTGATGTCTACACACTGTTTAGTAAACTAGAACGTCTACTCTATACTCCACCCAGTTAAACAGTCACTTACTTTCTAAATTTTAGGAAAAATTGCTGAATTTACGTATTGCAAATATATATATTGCATATATCTCTCTACTGAAATGCAGACTAACATGGCGGCTGAAATTCTTGTTCACATATGAAAATTGTTTCATAATATAATTAGGACATTTGTCAATATTTGGAAAAAAAGAGATAAAAGAAATGTAAAATGTTATATGCATAAATCATTAGGCTGTGGTGTCATGATAGACTTAATTCGGGTTAAATAAAGGTTACATTTAAAGCTTGATACAAGGGGTAAGCAGGAGCATTTAAACATTATGAAAGAGATTTGTTTGAGGTGACGCGGTGGTGCAGTGGGTAGCATGATCACCTCACAGCATGAAGGTCTTAAGTTCAAGCCTCGGCAGGGTCAGTTGGCATTTCTGTGTGGAGTTTGGATGCTCTTTCTGTGTTTGTGTGGAATTCCTCTGGGTGCTCCGGCATAGTGTATGTATGTGAATGGGTGTGTATGGATTTTTCCCAGAGATGGGTTGCAGCTGGCAGGGCATCCGCTGCGTAAAACATGTGCTGGAAAGGTTGGCGGTTCAATCTGCTGAGGAGACCCCAGATTAATAAAGGGACCAAGCTGAAAAGAAAATGAATGAATGAATGAAAGAGACTTTTTAACAAATGTTTCTTTTTTTGTTAAAATACCTACAAATCGAACTATCAACATTCTCCCCTCTAAATATGATTGTATGCAAACCTAGCAATGATCTAAACATCCATTATCATTGTTCCAAAAAAGGTATGCTGTCCCAGCATTTAGCATTAACTTTTGATTCCACAAATAAGTTGATTGAACATAATAATAATAATAATAATAATGATACTACTACTACTACTACTAATAATAATAATAATAATGATACTAATGGTAATAATAATAATAATAATAATAATGATAGCAGCATAAATAAATTGAAGAATTATGTTGGAATTTTTAAAAAGTACACTTAAAATAAATTATGTGGTGCTTTTATTCAATTTTGTTTCAATTGGTTAAAAAGTTAACAGTCCAGTTTGACCAGAATTGATCCAAAGTTAGGGCTACACAATCTGTCATGCAATTTGAACAAAAGGCAAAAATCTTTTTAGTTTTTTGAGTAATTTATTTACTTCTCTTTTTGCTAAGAGATAATATAAACACAAATCAGTGACTGTTATTTGTTGAGTTCACAGCAGATCACACTGGCTGTGGATTTGAGACACAAAGGCGCAGTTCGAGGGCAGTTTTGGCTGTGTTAGTGGTGGTGAGGGGCTCTTTGATGGGTCCGCCTCGGTGTGCACTGGAGCCTTTCGCATATATATGGAATTTTTGAATATCTAAACCATTATTTAGCATCTAAATCAGTTCTGCCTGTCTGACTGATGGACAATTTGAGCGTGACCCACGTCTCCCTGTGTGTGACCTATACTGTCCACATTCTTGTGTACGCTTTTGGATGTTTGGGCTCTTTTCCCTGACACACTCTCACCATTTAAACATGTTTTTTTGGGGGAGCCAGTCATGAAATATGTATTGCACGGATGATAGGTTTTACATAGCTATGTGTACAATTACTGGAGTGACCCTGCGATGGTTATTTCTCAGTATTGTATTAAAACAGATTTTCTTTTTTTTTCTTCTTTTTTTATTAGGAGTAACAATATTTCAAATTGATTTAGTTATTTAACTATATGTATGAATTAAAATGAGAAATTATCAGAAATTACAGTTGAAATCAAAATTTTTAAACCCCATTTGAATTTCTTTTCTTTTTTTTAAATATTTCCCAAATGAAGTTTACCAGAGCAAGGAAATTTTCACAGTATGTCTGATAATTTTTTTATTAGATTTTTTTCTAGAGAAAGTCTTATTTGTTTTATTTCGGCAAGAATAAAGAGTTTTTAAATTTCTAAAAGCTATTTCATGGTAAAAATTATTAGCCCCTTTAAGGTATATATTTTTACCTTATATATTTATTTCCTCCAGAACAAACCATCTTATTCAATAACTTGCCTAATTACCCTAACCTGCCTAGTTAACCTAATTAACCTAGCTAAGCTTTTAAATGTCACTTTAAGCTGTAGAGAAGTGTCTTGAAAAATATCTAGTAAAATATTATTTATTGTCATCATGGCAAAGATAAAATAAATCAGTTATTAGAAATGAGTTATTAATGTTTAAAAATGTGTTGAGAAAATCTTCTCTCCGTTAAACAGATTTTGGGGAACAAAATAAATAGAGGGCTAATAAATCTGACCTCAACTGTAGTTAGTAAAACTAATATGCTTAGAGATGTAGAGACTAAGCCAAATACAAGGACAAAGAGACTAAGCCAAAAGAGAATGAATGAATGAATGAATGAATGAATGAATGAATGATGTGTTGAATAAAATTTCTCTCCATTAAACTGACATTGTGGGAAAAAAAATATAAAAGAACTAAAAATGGAACACGAGGACTAATAATTCGGACTTCAGTTATATCTATTTTGCATCAAATTAAATGTACAAATGTAGATACGGCACCTATAAAGCACATTCAATCAGATAAAGTGACTACCTTAAGGTATTAAATAACTTTCACCCAAAAATTTGATAAAATGTTCTGTAAAAATGTAAAATGAGAGGACACATTTGGGACAATACACAGAAGAAAAACAGTGAAGTGATCATATTATATTGTATTGTATTTGATTAAAAACTTTAAGTGCTGTTGCCTCACAGCAAGAAGGTCGCTGGTTCGAGCCTCGGTTTAAAGGGGTGGTCCACTACGATATTATATTTTAAACTTCAGTTGATGTGTAATGTAGCTGTGTGAACATAAACAGCATCTCTGAATGTAAAATATTCAAAGTTTAATGCAAAGGGAGACCTTGATTTGTACAGAGTTAGCTTAGCAACGCCTACAATTAACGAATTTTGGGGACTACAAAAAATACTTTCGCCCCCTGTGAGGTCACAAAAGTTCGTTATTGCGCATCCCACACTGCGCAGGTAAAGGCCGTGGCCAGAGGCGCTGTAACGTTACTGCAGAGAGAGAAATGCCATCCTGCTGTTTCCACAGAGCTGTTCTGTTTCTGTTGTTGGGCTTCCAAATGACACGACCCAAACACAGAAGTGCTTACAGTTCAATATTAATTATGTTCCAGAGAACTATAAAATACATAGCAAGCATGATTTGACAAAACACAGCTTCCAGAATCTCTCCCAGTTCAGTGCTGGATTCAGTTAAAATCTCCTCAAAGATGGAGCAAGGAGACGCTGTGAACTCTGAGTCATGACCTGTAAGTGTTTTTATTTGTTAAAATTGATCATGACATGTACAGTGTCTAACTTTAACGGTGTGTTGTAGCAAAGATGTAAACAACGGGAAATTATGGTAACCGCTAACGACTTAGCTAACGTTACAAATCCATATTTATCAAACGGCTGTAAACGCACACACACACATACACATACACGCACTCTTGGCCAGCACCTGCGTCTATCTGTGTGAGACGGCAGAATTTCTCTCTATAGGCAGCTATGCTATGCGTTTTACAACTCGGACAATAAAGTCGCAAAAGATATGTGAACGATTCATGTTACTTACACAGGCATATTCCGCATATGCATGAAAGACGTCCTGTAACGCATTGATTTAAAAAAAATACAGCAATGATTTCCCAACTGGAGTGTAACATCAAAAACAAATCAATCCAGGCTCACAAAGGTCTCATCTCACATCTTGTGCTTTATTCTGTCACCACAGAAAATAACTTAATCCGAGCATGAGAGAAAAAGAACAATAAAAATCTCTCCCGCGCACATGCGCTTCTCGTGTTACAAATACTTCATCGTATACACGCATAAACACACTAAAAGGCACAGAAACAGTTAAAGGAGCCGCATCCCATTTTCACTCGTTACAGACACGTGTTGACTGACTGACTGACTGACTGACTGTTTACACAAAACGCGCGTGCTTGTCAGGGCGTGACGTGAAGCCGATCGGCGTATCACAGCATATTATGATGATGACCAATCAGAGTCACTTGAGGGTGGGCCTTTTAGAGGAACTAGGAAATATGACAGTCGTTTTCATGTTAGCTGAGTAGCTGTGTATAATCAAAGTGAGATTTATGAAAAAATAACACGATTTCCTTCAAGTTAAACATGAGCACACATTGCTTTGCATCTTATTAACACAACCAAGCCTTAAAAATAACATTCTGGACCACCCCTTTAAATGTTCTCTCTGCGTACGCGTGGGTTTCCTCCGGGTGCTCCGGTTTCCCCCACAGTCCAAAGACATGTGGTACAGGTGAATTGGGCAGGCTAAAGTGTCTGTAGTGTATGACTGTGAATGGGTGTGTATGGATGTTTCCCAGAGATGGGTTGTGGCTGGACGGGCCGAAAAGAAAATTTATGAATGATTAAAACCTAGTGATTTGATTAAAAGTCAAATTACAATTAATTGATTGATTGAATGAAAAACTTTTTATGCTTGCTTGCTTGAAAACCTAAAACCTAAAAGCCTATGTACTTTTCTGTTACACTGCATAGAGTAAAGCCTCATAGACACAAATAGATGATTAAAATGAAGATTATGGGCACCTTCAGGCTGGATTGGCTGATTTTCCCCCCGGAGCTCTAAATACAGAATTGTAAATACTAAATGCTTTTCTATTAGTATGCAGTTTTATTGTTGCATAAATGAATTCATTGCCTTTTTCTTTCTTTCTCACCTGTAGTGAGCACACAGAATCCCAGAGCTGTTTAAGACCAATATTCAGGATTCAAGCTCATGGTGTCCACCTGGGAGACAGAGATGAGTATTTCACTCACATACTGTGCATGTGAGCCCACAGAAGAGCCAACTTGATAGACTCCATTACCCAGTAAGAGTTTGCATTTGTGTGTGTGTGTGTGTGTGTGATACAGACTCCATTACCCATGAATCTGCATGTTTACTCAGCTGTACCGCTGTTAAATACATTCCTTCAGTTTCCATCACCTGCTCCACCTGCTCAATACTTCTGTGCAATAACACACACAGATGCATTAGTACACACACACACACACACACACACGTATATGCACAGAATCCACAGGACACTGAGATTGGTGGCACAGATGGAATGTACAGTGATGCTTATAGCATTTCCATATTTACAACATATATCCAAATATGTAATATAGAGCTGGATGTAAATAAATATGAGAGATATATTTGCTGTTTAACATTTTGCTTATCATTAATATTACTACTACTTCAACTACTACTACTACTACTACTACTACTACTACTAGTAGTAGTAGTAGTAATAATAATAATAATAAAAAAAAATAATACTTTAATTATAAATATTACTTTCTGAATTCACTACTCCACACATCATCATACATAATAAATAAATATCATACATCCTACAGATAAAAATCCCCAGACATACTATTATATTTAGTATGCTATTTACTGTATATTTAAGTTTACTTTTTAATTTAATTTTATTTACATTCGACTCATTAAAGAAGTATCGGTTCATAACAAGTGTTGATTACAGAGATGAAGCAGTAGCAGTAAATTATTTTAATTGATCAATGAGATCCAATGATGGATTTTCAATCAAGTTGAGCACTAATGACGACATTGCGCAATTTACCAAAGCAAACCTACACACAATTATCAAATTTGTAATGCTCACCTAGTTTCAATATTTCCACAATGTTTGTGTTGGGTCACAGCAGCTACTCTCAGGGGAAAATATGGGCTAACAAAAGTATCCGGGGTTCCTCGATGCTAAGGAAAGATCCCGAATGCTCCCCCAAATTATATCATGCCCTGTGTGTCTAGAAGAATGAAAAAGGGCTAAACATAATTATGACAACCCAAATCATTAGCTGCTATGGATCAACACAGACAATGGACTTGGCAAAAAGTGGTTGGCTTTATTTATTATAAGATAAGAGGAAAAAAAAAATTTTATCACCCAAAATATTTTACAAATGTGTACAATAAATGCAAAATAAGCTAATTGATACAAACCTGATAGGGGGAAGGAAAATTAGCGATGCCAAATCAAAAAATATAGGATGACACACCATGGCTGAAGTATTACTTTAAGACAGGTATGTTTTAAAACTATTTTAGCAAAGCTTATGTAGATTGTGTTCTTTTTATGTGCACAGAGGTGTTGTTTAGCAACTGAAAATATCCGGCAAAATATTGACTTCACAGAGTATCTTTTACAGCATTGATAATATAGTCCGTCAAATAGACCTAAGCATTTGTTTAGTTGTTCAAATGTAAAAGGAGATAATGATGATCAGCAAGCACAATTGAAAACGAAAAGTCACATGTTGTTTTGGTAAAGTGTAATGTGAAACGATGACATAGTATTTCTGTTTTTAGCACTCCTTTTTTCTGATCTGATTTTTATTGTTGAAAAAAAAAAACAGATACTCTAGCGTTCTTCCGCCTAAGTGGCTTTACTAAGGTGAAGTTTGATTAAAATTCGCACATTCATTCATTTTTGAATGAATGCCTATGATACCCTCCTACTCTAACTTTACTTGGAATATTTGGTCTGAAATAATGTGTAGGAATGACTTCAAAACAATATTAGCACTATTTAACTGACTGTGAACATTGTTTAATAGTCATTAGCTGATTATATGATTTCACTATTTTGAATTTGCAAACAATACTTTAATTATTGAGGAGAAAGTCCAAATGTGCAAATATAAAACCAACTTTACCCCAATGACAGTTTTGGGGAAATATAATTTCTTCACCTGCTGGCCTGTCAATAACTACACTATTCCAAATGTGTGTCTCCTTAGAGATTTCTATTTGGTGAATGACATGAGGGTGAAGCAGTGGCGCAGTAGGTAGTGCTGTCGCCTCACAGCAAGAAGGTCGCTGGGGCACTGGTTCGAGCCACGGCTCAGTTGGCGTTTCTGTGTGGAGTTTGAATGTTCTCCCTGCGTTCGCGTGGGTTTCCTCCGGGTGCTCCCGTTTCCCCCACAGTCCAAAGACATGCGATACAGGTGAATTGAGTTGGCTAAATTGTCCGTAGTGTATGAGTGTGTGTGGATGTTTCCCAGAGATGGGTTGCGGCTGGAAGGGCATCCGCTTCGTATAAACTCTCTGGATAAGTTGGCGGTTCATTCCGCTGTGGCGACCCCAGATTAATAAAGGCACTAAGCCGACAAGAAAATGAATGAATGAATGAATGACTTGATCTAATGTTAGGTTGTCTAATGTATAAGGTTGTCTATAGCGTCAGTCTATTCGGTGCAGTTTGGTTTGTACGTTCAGGACTTAAGGAGGCGTGGATTTGGACGGCAAAAGAGAGATGTCAATTCCTAAGCTATTATGTAACGCAAGAATTCTGGCAGATCACCTACTGTACCTTTAAGCAGATTTAGTTCGTATTGGTCCACTCATGAAAACTCTCTGTGCCAATCGGAACACCTAGATTTTAGAAGGACAGCAGACAGCAAATCAAAATGGAAAAGGGAGGAGGGAACAACAGAGCAACACCCCCCAGACATGTAACAATAATAATAATAATAATAACAACTCTTATTTCATTTCATGTCTTTAAATACCCATTTATAGCAGTTGGTCAATCCAGACATATTTAGGAGGAGGTTATTTTACACGGCCCACCTGAAGTCAAAAGTTAAAAAAAAATTTAACACAGTAGATAAAAGACATGATGTGCACTTCACACTGTGTATTTTTACGCTCTCCTTACGCTGCGTCAAAGGCCAGCGTTTGTGTTTTGTGTCCATAACCTCTGTTTGACTGCTGATCCTCATAAATATCACCTGGTGTCTGAGCGCAGTTTTTCTTGTCAAAATGAAAAAATAACAAGTTGGGCTCTGTTTCGTACCCTGTGACTCATTATCCCAGTTAGAGAGAGACTGGGTGTCAGTATATCACCCTGAGAGCTCCATCACCTGACCTCAAACTGGGACCCCCACATACCTCAGTGTGTGTGTGCTTTATGACCTCGGAGAGCGATCTAAAGACCTCGGAGAGTGCAAGTGAGTTATGGGCAGACTCAGTGGTTCTTGGTGTATGTATGTGTGTGTAAGTGTAAATGAGTTATGGCAGGGTCCAGTGGCCGCGCTGATGAAGGGGCGTCCAAATTTATGGCTGTGCCAAGTTCACTACTTTGACTTGGATACAGAGCAGACCCCTAACTAGAGAGAGACTGACTGACAGCCCGTCAGTTACACTTTTAGTGTGTGTGTAAGTGTGTGTGTACTTGATTATGTATGATTCTGTTAATGGTAAACATTTTGTATTTGAAGAAGTTAAGGAAAAACAAAGCTGTTTACTTAAGAAGTTAATAATTATTAATAATTAATTCATTGACTGAAAAACATTTTTTTTAAATAAAAACAAAAAATTAGTTTTTTTAAATAACAGAATTTATGGTTTTAAATGTTTTAACCAAAAAGTCCCACTTGGTAGCATAAATGCTAAGAGAACATGGCACTAATTAAAAGACTATTAAACAGTCCACTGTGTGATCAGAGCTAAATGTGTTCCATTTGATAATGTGGTAACAGTTTGTACATTTTACCAAACAACTCTTGATGTGAGACATTTTTAGATCAAAATATTTTCTAAAAAAAAAAGCATGCCTTTCAGTGCTTCAGATCTTATCAGTGAGGGAAAGTGACATCAATTCCTATATATATATAGTTGTGGGATATTATTCAATCAATTTAAACCCAAAGTAAGTTATATATAACTGTGTGTATATAAATGTATGTATGTGTGTGTGTGTGTATATATATATATATATATATATATATATATATATATATACTCACCGGCCACTTTATTAGGTACACCTGTCTAACTGCTCATTATCGCAAATTTTTAATCAGCCAATCATATGGCAGCAATTCAATCTATTTAGGCATGCAGACAGTGTCAAGACAATCTGCTGAAGTTTAAACCGAGCATCACAATGGGGATGAAAGGTGATCTAAGTGAGTTCACTGTACTCAAATGGCCAACACAGTCACCAGATCTCAGTCCAAAAGAGCACCTTTGGGACGTGGTGAAACGGGAGATTCCCATCATGGATGTGCAGCCAACAAATGTGCAACAACTGCGTGATGTTATAATTTCAATATAGACCAAAATCTCTGAGGAATATTCCTAGTACCTTGAATCTATGCCATGAAAGATTATGGCAGTTCTGAAGGTAAAAGTGAGTCCAACCCAGCACTAGTAAGGTGTACCTAATAAAGTGGCTGGTGACTGTGTGTGTGTGTGTGTGTGTGTGTGTGTGTGTATGTGTGTGTGCGTGTGTGTGTGTGTGCGTGCGTGCGTGCGTGCGCGCGTGCGTGTGTGTGTGCGTGTGTGTGTATATATATATATATGTGTATATATATATATATATATATATATATATATATATGTGTGTATATATATATATATATATATATATATATATATATATATATATATATATATATATATATATATATATTGTTGTTTGTATATGACAATGACTATTTAGAGCTTTTATAAAAAGTAAAATATAATTTCTTGTAAAATATTATAAAATATACAGCAAAGTAATACATGATGGACAAATAAAAACTGCATAAATCAACATGAAATCATGATTTTCAGCTGTATAAGACACTCTTTTTTTGCAGAAAACACTATGTTGCAATGCTCTGTAACATCTTGTGATTTATTAAAATGATTTATAAAAATTTATAAAAATTATTTAAAATATAGGCATTTTAAAAAAGCTGAAAGAAAAGAAAATGATTGAACACAGACAGTACACCAAATGTACTTGTCATCATAAAATGCTACATTATGAGGACTAAATTCTCCCACAAGGATAGTGCATCC